CCACCTCCTCCGAGATGAACTGAACCACCTAAATCACCATACTTCCCAACAAAGGATTCCCCCAGGCAGGAAACAGCCAGGCTTTGACATTGCAAGGCCATTCAATGCTAATCAAGGTGGCCAATTGCAACATACACACCTGCTTCAAACAGACAAGAGTTCTTTCTCCCACCCCAGACATTCCACCGATATATAAACCTCCGTTGCCTAGTTTCCAACAGGTCTCACAACCTCTGAAGATGCCTGCCATAGATGTGGGTGAAATGTCAGGAGAGAATGCTTCTGGATCATGGCCATACAGCCCAGAAAACTCCCAGCAACCCAATTGTTCATATTGTTTGATTTGTTTGCCATATTTTAATAACAATTCATCAATTAAAAACTCACCACTTCAGTTGATGTATTTATTTATTATTCAGATATGAGAAGAAGTTGTATAAGAGAAAGGGAGGAGTCTATGAAGTAAAGTACCAATACGGCATGGCAATTTACTACTAATGTGCAGGCACAATACATTTTGAAATGGGGACTACGGGCATCAATTCCCTCATTGCTGTGCCATCATGGCAACTGAAGGGAAATGCAAGTAGTTTACTTTCACAGGAGGCTGTATCTAGAGACTGAGAAGTGGATTTGCTGAGTCAGATCACTCACGGGGTTCAAATGACATTTTTCTCCTTCATATACAAGTCTCTGGACCTCTCCATTTTGATCAAGAGGCAGTGAATATTTTAGTGTCACTCTGCTGAGCCATAAGATGCTTCCAGAGGATGCTTTCATTGTGCAATGTCTTCTCCACAGGTGGAGAGGCAGTATTCAGGTAAGTCTTCTCACTGATTTCTCCATCTATTTGCAAACCACAAACTCCATTAAAAAGGGAGAAATTGAATAGCCGCCGAGTGCCTGTAGATTGGTAGTAAGATCAACTGCTCAAGAGCACCCTGGCACATGCTGCTGAGACATTTCAGGTGCATAAGGGATGCATCTACACTGTAGAATTAATACAGTTAATTGCTATGGAATTACAGAAATTGTGATGGAGCCCCCAGTGGTGCAGCAGATTAAACCACTGAGCTACTGAACTTGCTGATTGAAAGGGAATCTGCGAAGTGGGGTGAGCTCCCACTGTTAGCCCCAACTTCTGCCAACCCAGTATTACAAAAATATGCAAATGTGAGTAGCTCAATAGATACTGCTCCGGCAGGAAGGTAATGGTGCATCTATGGACAACGCCGGGTCTTACAGCTTAGAAATGGAGATGAGCACCACCTCCCAGAGTCAGACACGATTAGACTTAATGTCAAGGGGAAACCTTTACTTTTACTACTTTATGGAAATTGTAGTTTTATACATTTTTTAGCCTTCTCTGCTAAAAAGTGATGGTGCCTAACCGAACTACAACTTCCAGTATTCCATAGTATTGAGTCATGGCTATGGAGCCCCCGGTGGCACAGTGGGTTAAACTCCTGTGCCGGCAGGACTAAAGATCAACAGGTCACAGGTCTGAATTTAGGGAGAGCATGGATGAATCCCCTCTGTCAGCTCCAGCTCCCCATGCAGGGGCATGAGAGAAGCCTCCCACAAGGATGATAAAACATCCAGGCATCCCCTGGGCAACATCCTTGCAGACAGCCAATTCTCTCACACCAGAAGCAAACTGCAGTTTCTCAAGTCACTCCTGACACGAAAAAATTCATAGTAATTAAAGTGGTGTCAAAATGCATATTTCTATGGTGAAGATGCACCCAGGGTTTTGGCAGAGCCCACCCCACCCTCCTCCTGTTCATACATTTATTTATTTACTATATTTGTATACCGCTCTTCTCAGCCCTCAGGACGACTCAGAGCGGTTCACAACAGCAAATACAATACTTAAAACATGATAAAAACAGGTGAGAACAATTTAAAAGAATAACATTATAACAATCAATAAGCATCAAACATCTCATATCGTCTCATAGTTAAAATCAAGATCCAGTCTCATCATCCAATTGTTCCATATTTCTATATTAGTTACACTGCCTATTCAAATGCCTGCTTGAATAACCAGGTCTTCAATTTCCTCCGAAATGCTAACAGGGAGGGGGCCGATCTAATTTCTGTAGGAAGGGCATTCCACAACCGAGGGGCCACCACTGAGAAGGCCCTGTCTCTCGTCCCCGCCAACTGTACTTGTGATGCAGGCGGGACCGAGAGCAGGGCCTCCCCAGACGATCTTAACGTCCTAGCTGGTTCATAGGAAGAGATCCAATCGAACAGGTAAGCAGAGTATACATCTGCTCTAGATCTCATTACTGCTTCCCTCTTTCCCATTTTAACATACAATACAGATGCCAAGGTATGTAAATTTGCATTTTGCTGGTGCCAGAAGGTAAAGGCTGCATCTACACTGTAGAATTAATACAGCTTGACAGAACTTTATCCGCTAGGTTCAAAGATGTGGGGGTTTTTGGAGCTGTAGTTTCATGAGCCATACAAGACCTTCTATAACCACAACCCCCACGATTCCACAGCATTGAGCCATGACAGTCAAAGTGGTGTGAAAAGGAATTTATTCTGCAGCAAAGCTGTATGGCCATGTTCTAGAATCTAGGGGAATTCTCTCCTGACGTTTCGCCTGCATCTATGGCAAGCATCCTCAAAGGTTATGAGACCTGCACAGGATGCAGGTGAAACGTCAGGAGAGAATGCCTCTAGAACATGGCCATACAGCCCAAAAAACCTACAACAGCCCAGTGATTCCAGCCATGAAAGCCTTCGACAATACATTTAACTCTTGTCTGTTGGAGTTAGGTGTGAATGTTTCAATTGGCCACCTTGATTAGCATTTAATTGTCTGACATTTTTTAGGTGTGGCTTATCACTTCCTGTTGAGAGGTGATTAGATGTTCCTGATTGTTTCTTGTCTGGAGTTCCCCAGTATTTGAGATTTGTTCTTTATTTACTGTTATAATTTTAGAGTTTTTTTAAAAATACTGTTAGCCAGATTTTGTTCATTTTCATGGTTTCTTCCTTTCTGTTGACATTGTCCACATGCTTGTGGATTTCCATGGCTTCTCTGTGTAGTCTGACATGGTGGTTGTGAGAGTGGTTCAGCACTTCTGTGTTCTCAAATAAAGTGCTGTGTCCAGGTTGGTTCATCAGGTGCTCTGCTATGGCTGACTTCTCTGGCTGAAGTAGTTTGCAGTGCCTTTAATGTTCCTTGATTGGTGTTTGGGCGAAGCTGCGTTTGGTGGTCCCTATGTAGACTTGTCTACAGCTGCATGGTATACAGTAGACTCCTGCAGAGGCGAGAGGATCCCTCTTGTTCTTTGCTGAACGCAGCAATAATCCTCTTGGGTGCCGATGAAGGGAGCGTCTACCATCTGACTTCCCAGGAGTGAGGATGAGCCTGCCTTTGGAACTGCCCTCCCAGCATCTTTTCTGGCCGGCTGCCTTGTGTCTTTCGCCTCCTTCCTCCCTCTCGTCATCTACGCTGCAGAACGGACCACCAGCAACAGGTTGTCTGGGTTGTTGTAGGTTTTCTGGGCTATATGGCCATGTTCTAGAAGCATTCTCTCCTGACGTTTCGCCTGCATCTATGGCAAGCATCCTCAGAGTTGTGAGGTCTCACAACCTCACAACAGACTTCACAACCTCTGAGGATGCTTGCCATAGATGCAGGCGAAACGTCAGGAGAGAATGCTTCTAGAACATGGCCATATAGCCCGAAAAACCTACAACAACTCAGTGATTCCAGCCAAGAAAGCCTTCGACAACAGGTTGTGTGTTTGATAGAAAGCCTTCGTCCCTTCCCGTGACTGTTTGGACTGTTTACCTTTATCCATAGAGCCCCGTGTATCCTTTCACCAGGAGCCTTGAAGCGGGATGGGCACGCGTGAGTATGCGAGGGTGCGTGAGGACGAGGAAGGAGCACAGCTCAATAAGAAAGCGGCTGATTCAGGAAGAGGGCGCGGGGATTGGATAATATGGTTGGATTGGCTCCACAATGTTGAATCAATGCAGTTTGCCACCGCGTCAACTCTCCTGGTTCAATGCGATGGAATGCTGGGATTTGTAGTCTGTTCTCTCTTTGCATGTGTACCTGCATTTAGGATTGATTAGTTACGTTCCTCTTTATTATTTACTTGAAAGCACTTTGTTACAATACCGATGAGGAGTTCTTTTCAAAATTGGGTTGTTGTAGGTTTTTTCGGGCTATGTGGCCATATTCTAGAGGCATTCTCTCCTGACCTTTCGCCTGCATCTATGGCAAGCATCCTCAGAGGTTGTGAAGTCTGTTGTGAGGTCTGTTGTGAGGTATCCAGGAGTAGGTTCTAATGGAGTTGGACCTATATCTTAGGAACTATGGAAAAGTACTGGAAAATCAAATAGAGCACTCCAGCATCCCATAACTGATGCCTTCTGAGATCACATAAATTTAGAATCATGATTATCCTGAATTTACACTCTGCTATGCGTCATCCATATTGCACATTGTGGAATGTCCAGGGTGGGAGAAAGAACTCTTGTCTGTTTGAAGCAAGTGTGGATGTTGCAATTGACCGCCTTGATTAGCATTGAATGGCCTTGCAGCTTCAAGGCTTGGCTGCTTATTGCCCGGGGGAACTCTTTGTTGGGAGGTGGTTAGCTGGCCCTGATTGTTTCTTGTCTGGAACTCCCCCGTTTTTGAGTGTTGTTTTTTATTTACTGTTTTGATTTACTACAGCTCCTATGAGTCCATAGCATTCAGTCATGGCAGCTGAAATGGGGTCAAACTGCATTCATTTTACGGTGTAGATCAGGCATGGGCAAACTTGGGCCCTCCTGGTGTTTTGGACTTCAACTCCCACAATTCCTAACAGCCTCCCGGCTGTTAGGAATTGTGGGAGTTGAAGTCCAAAAAGAATGGCATCCGACAGCCAATCAACGCTTGCATCGAGCTTCCCCGTAAGGGCCAATGAGAAGATAGCTTTGTAAGATCCCGCTTCGACGTCCGATTGGTCGGCGGAGCGTGCGAGACGTACGGCGCGCAGGACCACGCATGCGCGGGACGCAGTGGCTAGTGAAACCGGGTGCTACGCTGACAGGGCCGCAGCCATCCTCGACCTAAAGTAGCGGCTTCCAGTCAGGTTTGCGGCCTCCCCTCGGGCGCCCTTCCGTCCCATCCTTTTCCTCTGCTGCTCCTGCCACTGTCGCTAACAGCAACATGTTCCTCACTCGCTCCGAGTACGACAGGTGAGTTGGGCCAGGAGGAGAAGGAGGCGCGGCCTGGTCCTGCCGGGGCTGAGTCACTCTGGGAGGCCCGGCGCGCTCGCTCGCTCGCTCGGCGTTTACATGCCAACGGAAGTGGGGGAGAGCTGCTTCCGCTTCTTCCTCCCCTTCCCCATTTTCTGGAGCCCACCACTTGGTTCCTTCAGTGGGACGAGGGGCCTTTGGGATGCGCTTAGTCACCCCTCTGAGCTTCCTTTTTGCACAGTCAAGGTTCTTCTACACTGTAGAATGAATGCAGTTTGACACCACTTCTCCCGGGAGTTGTAGTTTTAAAAGGTTTTTAGCCTTCAGTGCCAAAGAGTGTTGGTGGCTCCACAAACTACAATTCCCATTTTCCCCATAGCATTGAGCCATGACAGTTAAAATGGTGCCAAACTGCATTCATTCTCCTAAGGCAGTGGTTCTCAACCTGTGGGTCCCCAGATGTTTTGCCCTTCAACTCTCAGAAATCCTAACAGCTGGTAAATTGGCTGGGCTTTCTGGGAGTTGTAGGCCAATACACCTGGGGACCCACAGATTGAGAACCATGGTCCTAAGGTAGTGGTTTTCAACCTGGGGTCCCCAGATGTTTTTGGCCTTCAACTCCTAGAAATCCTAACAGCTGGTAAACTGGTTGGGCTTTCTGGGAGTTGTAGCCCAATGTACCTGGGGACCCACAGGTTGAGAACCATGGACCTAAGGCATCTTGTTCAGCATGCACACCAGATACATAGGCACCATCTATATCAGGCCTGCAGAACTCATGGTCCTCCAGGTGTTTTGAACTTCAGCTCTCTAAATTTATGATTATTGGAAAAGCTGGCTAGGACTTCTGGGGGTTGGAATCTTAAATACCAGGAAGGCCAGAGGTTGTGTAGGCCCGATTTGTACTGTTAATGCAGTTTGACAATGCTTTCACTGCTGTGGTTTAATATAACCCCCTCACCCCCTCCCAAAAATAAAAACAACAATAATATAGAGCCACAGATGTTAAAGTATCAAACTGCATCAATTCTACAGTGTAGAGCAGGCATGGGCAAACTTTGTCCCTACCGGCTGTTAGGAATTGTGGGAATTGGAGTCCAAAACACCTGGAGGGGTGAAGTTTGCCCATACCTGGTGTAGAGGCATCAATAATTAATATTTATTACAAAGACATCAGTCATTATACAGGTTGAGTATCCTTTATCCAGAAACCTGAAATGTTCCAAACTTGTCCACGTGGGTGACTGTAATAGTGACACCTTTGCTTTCTGATGGTTCAGCATACACTAACTCTGCTTCATGCACATACATTTTTTAAAATATTGTTTGTAAAATTACCTCCCGGCTAGGTGAATATGAACCAGAAATGAATTTCATGTTTAACTCAGGTTCCATCTCCAAGCTATCTCACTGCAGAATCATAGAAACAAAGAATTGGATGAGACCATTGAGGTCTTCTAGTCATTATATAGATTACTCACAGTAACCTATCTCTTTTTTATTTGTGTTTCCAATATGCTCACCAATAGGCAAAAGAACAAGTGATTTGTTGCTGGAGAGGTTTATGTCCCTTTTTTCAAATTGTATGCTAATTAGAAATGTATATATAAAGGTCCCCTGTATTTATCATAGATCTCAAGGTAGCAGTAAGTTAACATATTCCTGTTCAGGGCAAACAGAGCTAACTGCATTGTGCAACAATAAAGTACTGTCTCAGTTGCTGAGTAGGAAAGGCCTCAACCAGTTTCCTTAGTCATAGTGAGAAGCTTTTGCTTTCAGTTACACTGAGCTGGCCTGAACTTATTAATCATTCATCCTTCTACATGAGATGAAGCTAAATGTTACATAAGAAAATAACTTGGACATGTATTGTAAAGAAAGAAAAAGAAAACTAGAAAATTTAAATTAGTTATATAGAGAATATCAAATAAATTTATAGAGTCCTGCTAATATTAATTTTATAAACAAATACTAAATGAAGGGCCTTCTCACTGCTCAACTGTCTTCAGGCCCCTCCTACCCTGCCTTAAAATCCAGATTATCAAAGCAGATAATGCACATTATGTGCTTTTATCTGAATTATATGAATCTACTCTGCCATATAATTTGGTTCAAAGCAGATAATCTGGATTTTATATGGCAGTGTACAACGGGCCTTAGCGTGTTATCCTGCTAAGAGAAAGGCACCTTTTTATATGTTGAAGTTGTCTCATTCTTTAGGGAATCTAAATGTTACTTCTTTAATTCTTGCAATTTTTAATTTGTTTTATAGTTTCATTTAATTTTTTTAACATAAATTAATTTTAAAACTATTTAAAGCTACACATTTTTTCGGAAATATTTCATATTAATTTAATAAAGAGACATTACCAAGTACACTGGGAACTTGGAGTAAGGCTAATGTGATCACACTTTGATCTCTTTTGCTTTGGCCTTATCCTGAACAATTTTCTTATTTTGTTGATGTTTTGTATCTTAGTTTTTCAACAGGTTGTTCTGCTGATTAGAAGTGAAATAAATAAATAAATGCCCTTGCTTTAATGCAGTCAGTACCATTATTTCAATTGAATATGTGATCTGCTGGCACATGTCTTTAGCATTGTTGAAGATTTTGGTCCTAGGAACATTAAATTCTGAGTAAACATGCATAGTATTAGGTTATACATTTGACTTTTGTCTTTCAATTATAGGGGTGTGAACACTTTTTCTCCAGAGGGAAGATTATTCCAGGTGGAATATGCCATTGAAGCTATCAAGGTACAATAAACATTTGAAACGATTGTCTTAAATATTTCCACATCCATTCTACAAGGATGGGTGGATTGGAATGGGAAAACTCAAAGATTAAACTGCAGAATTTCAGCAATGTGCTCCCAAATGTGTATTTTTGAATTCAGAAATATTTTTTTTCATGTGATCTTTTGCTATATACAGCTGCATACTTCTGGAATTTCTGGAATATTAATTTGAGTAATTCCTTGAGAGTTACTGTAGGTAGGGGAGGGAAAGAAGATTGCTCACAGGAGGCCTAGGACTGACCAGGAAAGTCAGATAATATCTTCTCATATATTACTTCCAAAAAAATTCTAACGTCATTCCAATATACCTTTTTGCATACTGTAAAAGGCATGAAACTTCTCTCTCTGTCTTTCTCTCCTTCTCTTACCAGAATTACACACTTAGCTCACACTAGGCTTTAATGTTTCCGCTTTACAATATAGCTGTTTTAAATTGGTTTGTAGCACTTTCGTCCAGACTGCATTAGAATTCATTTTAATGAATTTGGCATAGAAACTTCATAGAAGAGAGCAACTAGTCATCTTCATTATGAATTTGTGCTTAGATTGTGGAGCCAATACATATTGTGTACTACTGTCTCGTCTGATATATTGATGTGATTTTACCTGTATTTCATGTGGTTATGGCACTTGTATGTGCTTCTGTAAGCCACCTCAAGTCCTTCTTGGTGGGTATAAATAAAGTTTTTTTAATTATTATGATTATTATTACCATAGTTTTGTGTATGTTTAGTTATGTCATACACTTTTTATCTTCAGTCATAACACCCATGTGATCAAAAAGAAAGGATTTAAAAAGTAATGATTTTGAATGTTTAAACCAGGGAGTGACACAGTACAGCCCTGTAGTGTTCAGCCCTCCAGATTTTGTTGGACTGGAATGCCCATAAGCCTCGACTACCGCTACTGACAACCCATTAACATGTGGAGGGCTGAATTTTGCACACTCCTGCTTTAAGGCTTCGACAGAGGCTTTCTGTAGTCAAACCTTAGTACATTTGGCTTCCCTACAAGCACCATTCCCTGGTCATCTCTGTGTACTGTGCTGCAGTATTTTGTGATGTTTCTTAGTATACTGATGTATATTTGGGACAGGTGAAAAAACAGCACCTTGTTACATCAATGGACAGCTTATCTAAATAAAAATGACAGAATCGAATATTTCCATTGCTCATGTAATTATTCATAGTGGAATTGCACAATTTGGATTGGCATTCTTCAGAACTACTTCTTCATTTTGCCATAGCTTAAAATGCAGGTCACATTTTCCTTTTTGTAAGATGAGAAAATAGCTAAATGAAACTGTAGGAACTGGAGATTGGTACATAGGAACAGCTAGTGTTATTGAAATCCTGACTCACCTGTTGTGCTGGTTGTATGAGTAGATAACTAACGTGTAGGTTTTAATATTTTCAGTCACCATGTTTACTGTGGTGATCATGCTACCACTGTAAGGCAAATGTGACAGATATCCATCTTCTCTTATAGCTGTGAAGTTCTAGAGGTGGACTGTGATTATCTGACATTTCTGAAGTAGTTGTTGACTGTTCCTAGCTAACCTCTGAGGGACCAACACTTAAGAGCTCCTCGCCAGTCTATCTAAGAGATAACCTGTTTCCAGGTGCCTAAGAAAGCATAATTTATAGACATATTCAGTGTGTTCCTCCCAATTAGTGACCAATATAGTATGTTGCGAGCCCCTGGTTGCGCAGGAGTTAAGCCGTTGAGCTGCTGACTTGCTAGCCGAAAGCTTGGCAGTTTGAATATGGGGAACGGGGTGAGCTCCCACTGTTAGGCCCAGCTTTTGCCAATCTAGCTGTTTGACTGACACAGTGCAGCCCTGTAGTGTGAGTAGATCAATAGGTACCGCCTTGGTGGGAAGGTAACGGCATGCCATGCAGTCATACCAGTCACATGACCTTGGACATGTCTACTGACAATACTGGCTCTTTGGCTTAGAAATGGAGATGAGCACCACCCCCCAGTCAGACACGACTAGACTTGAACTGACATCCACTGCGTTCAACTTGATCTGCAAATAGAGACATATCTCAGTTAACAAAGTCTCCAAGAAAGAGGCTTCTTTTTTACTAAGTATTTTTATGCTCGCCCAGTCCCCCTTTCTTCCTTATCTTTTATATCTAAAGTTTTTTTAGCAGCAGCATTGAGGAATGGTGAAGAAAGTTCCGAGAAACTTTCCATATTGCAGTGAACAGTATAATAAAGTACTACTGGAACATGATTATACAGTCTGAAAAACTCACAGTAACCCAGTGTAATAAAGCTTGAACAGTGAAACAGCAGGATTCTGCTCTGATGCAGCTATAGCTATGTGTCTATTTACAACAAGCTTGGGTAAACAAAAGCTGCCTTATTGAGCAGGTGTTAATAGCAAAACAGGGAGAAAATGAGAGACAAAATAATCATCTCCAGCCCCCCCCCCCCAGCACGTTAAAAAGGCACAAGAGCATATCTGCACTGACCATTTAGTCAATTAAGGTCCAGATCAACTACATGGTGGCCAAGTGCCACATAGAGCTGATCCAMGGTAACATGAAGTAAGGCCATGTTAATCAGGGATAATCTGAATTCTGCGCCAGAAATCACATTATCCCCTGAATTTYGGTCTTTCATGGCCAGAATCACTGGGTTGTTGTAAGTTTTTCGGGCTGTATGGCCATGTTCCAAAAGCATTCTCTCCTGATCTTTCGCCTTCATCTATGGCAGGCCTCCTCAGAGGTTTTGAGGTCTGTTGGAAAATAGGAAAATGGGGTTAATAGATCTGTGGAATGTCCAGGTAGGAGAAAGAATTATTGTCAGTTGGAGGTAGGTGTGAATGTTTCAATTGTCTACCTTGACTAACATTTAATGGCCTAGCATTTTTAGGGGTGGCTTTTTACTGCCTGGGGGAATCCTTTGTTGGGAGGTGATTAGCTGTCCCTGATTGTTTGTCTGGAGCCCCCTGTTTTTGAGTGTTGTTCTTTATTTACTGTTATGATTTTAGAGTGTTTTTTTATACTGGCAGTCAGATTTTGTTCATTTTCATGATTTCTTTCTTTCTTTTGAAATTGTCCACATGCTTGTGGATTTCAGTGGCTTCTCTGTGTAGCTTGAAATGGTAGTTGTTAGACCTCACAACCTCTGAGACCTCACAACCTCTGAGGGTGCCCGCCATAGGTGCAGGTGAAATGTCAGGAGAGAATGCTTCTGGAACACGGCCATAGAGCCCGAAAAACTTACAACAACCCTCTGTCTGAACAGTTTGGCTGACTCCACAACGGCTGGGGGAGTGCCTGTCTGATCCATCCCGGAGCTGATCTGGTTTTTCTAAAAAGGAGATTCTTTATCAGATTAAAGCATGCCTGCATTTTGGATCTACTAATAAGAAATCCAGGTTAGGATGTAAGCTGTGAAATATCAGAAGTAGTTTGGTAGTGATCTTTTCTTTTCTTTTCTTTTTTTTTAAAAAAGCTTGGTTCGACAGCAATTGGAATTCAGACATCAGAAGGGGTTTGCCTGGCTGTGGAGAAGAGGATCACATCCCCGCTTATGGAACCCAGCAGCATTGAGAAAATTGTCGAAATAGATTCTCACATAGGTAAGAGTAAAAAAACCTTATTTACCATAATTCATTGATTTTAAGACACCATCAATTCTAAGATGCCCCCCCTAGTTTGAGCCTCAATTTGTGGTGATTCTTTTTCGAAGATATTCTGCTGGGTAAGAGGAGGATCAGGAAGACCTAGGAACTGGTTGTTGTTCTGGCTCCCCTCTGCACTCCTGTCCTCACCCCAACTTTACTTCTTTGTGGCAGTTGCAAAAAGACTGCCCACACAGCTGCTTCTTGTCTCCTCAATTCTTCGCTGCTGTCTTTTCCACTCTTGATGGCTGCTTCTTGCTCCCCACTGGCTCCCCTCCTGCTCTCTCAGCTGCCATAACTTCTGATCTTTTTTTTTTATAAAAAGTCTAGGATGCCATGAATTCTAAGACATACCTTTTTTGAGTCTTAGTTTTGAGTAAAAAGTGCATCTTAGAATCTGTAAAATACGCTTTTCAATGTTAATGGCAGCACGTGCATGAATAAAACCTTCCTCATCATATCTCCCGTAGTACAGCCCACAGAGCTGTGTGCAGACTTTATTTGGTAGGGAATTAATATTTAATGGTACTGGTCACTGGTTTTCCAGGCTCTGGGCCAGCAGGACATAGTTGCAGGAGTAGGAAGCAGCAGCTGTAACTCAGTTCTGTGTGACCTCGCTAATGAAAGCTTGTCCCCAAATTTAGAACTTGGAGGGCAGGGAATTGCAATGTAAACGCTTGATCCTTGGCCAACGTCTGTGCTGGAAGCTCACTGATTGGACCACTAATGTTAGCCTGTCCTCTGTGCTCAAGACACTTTCTTGCACAGGGCACGCACACACCCTCCTTGAAACCTGGAACCTGCTCCTTAGGAATTTATTTTCTGGTCATCTTCCTTTCTCTGTACTGAGTATTATTCTGATCTTGTTAGTGCTCAAGGACAACATTAACCTTTCATAGGACTTAGACTGAAGACATTTGTGAGGCTATCTACATTTTGAAAAAAATAAATAAAATAAAGATCTAAGTGTGTATTACTGATATTTTAATAATCCTTAGTACATAAAGATGACTGTGGAACCAATTTTCTTATATGGGATCTGTAGTTTTGTCCATGGGACTTCTAATATGATTTTATTATGGTATAATGTAGCAGGTTAGGGGTTTTTCATGCTCCTGAAATGCTAGTGAGTTTTCATAACTGGTGTTTTTTTTGGAAAGTTGAAAGATCTTCCTATTAGTTTCACTGTATTTTTCCAGCAAATCTAGGTAATTTCCATGCATGTTTTACTCAGCAGATCTAGGCCACTTCTACACTGCCATATAAAATCCAGATTGGATTATATGGCAGTGTAGACTCATATAACCCAGTTCAAAGCAGATAATGTAGATTATCTGCATTGATAATCTGGTTTGTATGACAGTGTAGAAAGGGCCCTAGAGGCTATAACCCCATATACAGATTTCAGAAGTCTGAGAAATGAAATTAGTTGCGGTTTCTTGACTGAAGATGGAACAGTGATAACATCTATGCCCTGTACTCTGTTTTCTTTTGTCTTACAACTGTTGATACATAATGTGGGTGACATAGAAGCTGTATGCCTAATGGGAAATTTCATCACTGAAAGTTTATGGTTGTCTAAGTTTTACTTATTTTCATCTCCCTCCAGGCTGTGCAATGAGTGGTTTAATAGCTGATGCAAAGACATTAATTGACAAAGCAAGAGTTGAGACTCAGGTAACTTTTTCTACCACTCTAACTATACATGTGAAAGCGTTTTAAAGGACTCTTTTGGGAGAAGAGAAACCATGTCAGGTGTGTAGAAAACAGTTGTTTTCTAAGGGTGCCAAATACTTATGACACTTCAATTTAACAAAAAATAAAGTCTTTCAATGCATGCATAGTCCTTGCTTGCAATAACCATCATAACATTGAGATCTCAGTTTTTGATGGAAAAGTCTGCCCCAACAATGTTTCTACTTTGGCGATATATGTGCCTTTCTTAGGAATTTTCAGGTCAGACTGAAAAGACATTTAAAGTCCACCTTACTACACATGAGCCACTTCTCTGTAAGTTGTTTCTTTACAGCTAGGATGACATTTAATGATCTCATTACAGAATGTTGATTTCTGCATTTAGGTTCTGGTGTCCAGTGTCTGAGTAGGAATTTCCTCCAAAAAATGTGGCTCTTGTATGGTTAGAGATATGTAAAATGACCCTAATTGAGTTTGTATTTAAAATGCTCAAGAGAAGTATGTCGCAGTTGGCAAAGGCTACTGTAGTCTTGTTTTGTTATGATATGTGGTTATTGTAAGATGGATGGATGGATGGACCATGGGTGATATTAAAGCACCTGCCCCTGTTTCTTCTGCATTCCATTTTGGCACAGTATTGAAATTGGTATGTAGATCTCCTATGGTTCTTCTTACCTAGCAAGTGCATTGTCACTATAGAGATAGTATCATTTTGCTTTTTGTAGGTACTTATGAAAAGTGAAAGAAGGCATATATTTGACTTGCCAAATGTTGTTTGAAGCAAATTGCTACCTAGGCCAGAAACTATTTTGTGAAGTGCTATGCAAGAGACTTCTGGTAGAGCACAGTAAGAAAACAGTGTGCAGAGACCGCTCTCAAGTTTTTCAGCTGTGAAGCACTTCAATGATATGGGCAATAATGTCACAGCTGATGAAAATCTAGGCATCCAAACTGAAGAAACCAGAAATTGTTTTTTCCTAAGCATAAGATAAGTTTCTTTATTTGTTTTGTGATAGTTTTGTTTTATGTGTTCTGTTTAGACACGTGTCTGCATATGCAAAAATCAAAAGCCATTGTATGAAAATGCCTATATGGATTAGGATTTTTTTCTTCTTAGAATCACTGGTTTACGTACAATGAAATCATGACTGTAGAGAGTGTGACACAGGCAGTGTCCAACTTAGCATTACAGTTTGGAGAAGAAGATGCTGATCCGGGTGCAATGGTTAGTAGAATTTTTTTGCCCATTTTATTTTGAATTTTTGGCAGTATCCAGTTATTCAGTTATTAAATTGCTGTTCATTTTGCCTGTTTGTTCCAGTCAAGGCCGTTTGGTGTGGCACTGCTCTTTGGAGGAGTCGATGAAAAAGGACCACAGTTGTAAGTTTGGTCTTAGCTTCTTCACTCTGTTCAGTGTATTTTCAAGTGCAGAGTATTTGACTAATGTGCTGTTGCTTGTTAAAGAAGTGGAACTCCCTAGATTTTTTTTTAAAGTTAACTACAAGCCAAACTTTAAGAAGTTAACGGCAAGCATTCCTCCACCTAAAACATTGGGTGGATGGCAACATATTTTTGCCTCTAAATGGCAAATTGTGACTCCACAGCGTCTTGGCCTCTGCAGGACTGTTTAGAAGTAGGACATGACTGTCAAAAAATGAAGTTTTTTGAAGAAAAAAAAGCCTGCGTAGCCCTGAATTGGGAGGTGGCTGAAAATGAAGAGTAGCACCCGATTCACATGAGGCTCAGGCAAATGCTATTGACCATTTGAGAGCAAAGATATTGAATGTTTGTTGGAGATTCAGGGCAAGGTGATTATGTGTGTAACCTTCAAGGATCCTGTGGGAGCCATTGCCACCCTCAACCTCAGGCTGAGATAAGATCTCGCTATCACTAAAACTGAAATATTAAAGCTTATGTCCCACATAGAAATTGTTAGAGACAGTACACTAGACTCAGTGGTTTAAACTACTTACCTACACATTTTTATAAAGTAGAATGGAAAACCTATGGCCCTTCGAATGTTTTGAGGGCAAAATGGTAAAGAGTTGTCCAAAAACATCTATAAGGCCAGAATGTTTCAGGGTGAGGTCCCTTCTAAACTGCCATATAAAATCCAGATGGTCTGCTTTGAACTGGATTGTATGACAGTGTAGACTCATATAATCCAGATCAAAGCAGATAATGTGGATTATCTGTTTTGATAATTTGAAATATAGGGCAGTGTAGAAGGGGTCCAAGCTATAGTGCCGCCTAATACTCTTGATTCAGGCAATAATCTAAGAGGAAATTACAACTGATAAGCATTACAGCGTAATGGATTTGAATAAAATATACCTCTGTAGTGGGCTAGTGTGAGCTGCTTAGTATTTTGGATTTATACTGTTCAAATTGTTATAATTTGGGGAACACAGTTCTTTTCATAGATAAATACAAAAGAGCTGCTTCAGGTAACACAGTGCTACACAGCACAGTTGCATTGACATAACTTTGAATGTTTGAACAAGCACAATTTTAGAGTGGCTATAAAGAAGGACTAAAGATGGTACAAATATTCTTTGGTCTTTTTGAAAAGAGCAGCAGAGGCACTGGTAATATAATATCTGTCGTCTGCTATGGCATTCCTTCAGTGGGTTAGGAGAGCAGCGGTAACCAAATGCCCTGTACGCTTCAAAGTTCCAAGCACTCTTTAAAGAAACAGGCCTTCCTGAGTTTCATAGGAGAGCAGATCATTTAAAATGGCATAAGGGAGGTTTTAGAGTGACGTAACCCCCCCCTCCCCCAATGTTCATCAGAAAAGCTTGATGCATTTTTTCTTAAGAATTAAAAGTGACATTTACATTTATAAAATCTGGGGAACTGGTGTATTTTATTGTGATTATTTCTCAATTTCAAATGTCAGTCAACTTAGGGCTCTTCCAGACAGGCACTATATCCCAGGCTCTGATCCCAGGTTTTCTGTTTATCTCAGATTAACTGGCAGTGCGAACTCATATAATTCAATTTAAAGCAGAAAAACTGGGATCAGTTCCTAAGATATAGAGCCTGTCTGAAAGAGGCCTTAGATGACCTTGTGGCTACTAAAGGGGGTCCCAGGCTGTATGTGGTCTACATTTTACCCACCTGGCTTTATGGAGTCAATGTGGATTACTTATCATTTTCCTCAAAGATACTACTTTGGATCCAAAGTACTTCCTATGAAAAAAGAAGGCATTTCATTTACCTGGTTGTGATTGATACACATTTCTGGAGTGTTTCTTGATGCTGAGGCAGTTATATGAAGGCAGTGTTCTAGGGAATAATGTCAACACAGTACATAATATTTCCTAGGGAATTTCCTCACAATTTGAATACTTTGTTGATTGTCCTGTTCATTTCATTGTCATCTTTTCTTTTGTAGGTTTCACATGGACCCTTCTGGAACATTTGTACAGTGTGACGCGAGAGCAATTGGATCAGCATCAGAAGGTGCACAAAGCTCCCTGCAAGAAGTTTATCACAAGGTAACAAATTGAGGTCTTAAAAACATATCTTGGCTGGCTTGTTAACCTCATAAAATACTGTTTACTGCAGATATCTGGTTAAGAGACCCGGAGGTAAAAGGAAACATTGTGGCATTTATTCTGGTATTGTTCACAATATGAACAGTTCTGTGACATGGCGTTAAAAAAAATCCTAATTAAAAATTTCATAAGAACAACCATGTCACCTGGTTAGAGAACACATGCCAGAAAATATTTATTTATTTATTTTATTTACAGCATTTATATTCCACCCTTCTCACCCCGCAGGGGACTCAGGGTGGATTACAATGTACACATATATGGCAAACATTCAATGCCAATTAGACATACAACGTATATAGACATACACAGAGGCTATTTAACTTTTTCTGGCCACCAGGGGAGCTGTCGCTTTCATTGTCCATCTGCGACACTGATGAACTACTTGCACATTCCCCGCATGCTTTGCTGGAGTGCTTTTTTCTGGAGTCTTTTTTATGGCCTCATAAATTAGTTAAACTGGGCTCCCCACACTTAAGTGGTACCTAATTTTCCTACTTGACAGGTGCAACTGTCTTTCGGGTTGCAAAGGTCGACAACAAGCTACACAATTGGTCGGACACTCACTCCAACCCGGGCTGGCTTCGAACTCATGACCTTTTGGTCAGAGTGATCTTAATGCAGCTTACACTCAGCCAGCTGCGCCACAATCCTGGTGTAAATTATCTCTAGGATGTTGAGAAGGATTCTTTATTGATCAATAGATTAGACTAGCAAACTGCTTGCGAAATAACTTGCCCATTGTCGACACTTTGCATTCTTTCACAGTTGTATGATTTATTTAAATTAGATCTTAACATTTCACCAAACGCAGATTTATAAATATTTAATAACCAATCATTTTATATTATTTTAATCTGTGATCGATTGATATGTATTTTTAATTGCTATATGTTTAGATTGTTTTATATTTTAATGAGTTGTGTTTTATTGTTTACCTATGCAACATTGGATTTTTGCTGGATTTGTAAGCCCCCTTGAGTCCCCTTCAGGGTCGAGAAAGGCAGGGTAGAAATGAAGTAAATAAGTAAATATAAATAAATTTGTCATAGGGTTTTCATAACACTTCAATAACATACAGTAGTAGCAGACTTCATGACTGCAATGCCAACCTCTTTACATAGGTCCCCCCCCCACAAAAATCACAGTAGTTAATGGCAGAGACACACAACAGAACCAGCATTATCAGTTTTCAGTTAAAATTTGTTCTGAACTCAGATATAAATCTTTCACTGTAGTTATTTTCATTGCAGTTGTTTCCTAATATGCAGTAGGATTGCTAAAAATATTCCTCAAGCAAAGGATTTCATATCTTTCCAAGCCACCATGGCAAACAATCTATGAATTTATTTTTTCTATGGTAGTTCACCATATAAAACCAGCAATTACTTGTATCCTTTTTAGAATTTATAGTACTAGAGGAAATTGTTTAATCCAAAATAAGTCCTTCGTATATAGAACGCAAGCAGCTTTTATATGGCAGTTGTCTCATGTACACCACCCTTAACTTCTGCAATTTCTTTAAACAGTCAATGACACTGAAAGAAGCAATCAAGTCATCCCTTGTCATTCTGAAACAAGTTATGGAAGAAAAACTGAATGCAACTAACATTGAGGTATGTATCTTACCCTCCTGGTAAAGGGAAGTGTTTTCCATCAATATCCTGAGTAAATAAATGTTGGCATCATTTGTCAGAGTGGCTTATATTTGTCATTATGATTCTTACATCTTTGTGTGCAGCTGGCATATTTGAAGATTTCATACTTACTATTGCTGCCTCTGTTGTTCCGCAGCTTTGCAATAAAAGTTCTGTCATGTCACACAGATGGCAACAGCCTCAATTTCAGTCACATACTTGTTAAAAGTAAAGAAAGGTTCTCTAGTCCCCTGGTATATGCAAACAGTGAAAAACCTTTTTTCGTTGCTATTTAAATTACTGTATGGAAATGCATTTATTTATTATTTATTTATTTAGCAATTTTGTATACTGGTCTTCTCTATCGCGGGACTTCCAACAATAAAATCACAAAACAATAATTAAAAACATCATATAACATATTCAATTAAAACGTTATAACAGCAAAATGCAATCACATAATAACAATGGTCAGTCGTCATAGTGAATTCGTTGTCCATCATTCATCGTCATCTATCCGATCACAGAAATATTGATTCACTCGTCGAAAGCCAAACCCCATAGCCAGGTTTTCACCCGTTTTCTGAACGACAGAATGGAGGGGGCAGTTCTGATCTCCAGTGGGAGAGAGTTCCAGAGCCGAGGGGCCACCACCGAGAAGGCCCTGTCTCTCGTCCCCACCAGACGCGATTGCGAGGGTGGTGGGACCGAGAGCAGGGCCCCTCCAGAAGATCTTAACAACCTTGATGGTTCATAGGGGAGAATCCGTTCGGACAGGTAAACTGGGCCGGAGTCGTTTAGGGATTTATAGGTCAACACCAGCACTTTGAATTGTGCTTGGAAGCTAATTGGCAGCCAGTGGAGCTGGCGCAGCAAGGGGGGGAGTAGTATGCTCCCTGTACCTTGCTCCTGTTAGTAATCTGGCTGCCGCTCGTTGGACTAGTTGAAGCTTCCAGGCAGTCTTCAGAGGCAACCCCACATAGAGAGCGTTGCAGTAGTCTATACGGGATGTAACCAAAGCGTGGACCACCGTGGCCAAGTCAGATTTCTTGATAGTTGGGTGGAAAACATGACATCATAGACTATAGTTAAAGTTACCATAGTGTTGAGTTCTTGTTGTGAATATTACGCAGCAGCAAGACTAGTTAGCAAATCTTACTTTGCATTTGTTCATATGATGAGTTTATCCCATAATATGTAAGTTTGACCCATCTCAATATTGGATGATAAGATCTAAGGTAGACATGGATGGATTGACTATGACTAGGGTGTACCAACTATCTCACTGTGTCAGAAGAAGGTGGAAGCTGCCTCGAAGGAGGCTATAGCATGCCTTCTTCTATAAAGGACCTTTTTGGAACCAGATGTATATGAGAAGGATCACTAGTGTTCCCTTTTGGGTAATGTGCTTGAGTTTGTGGTGACTAGGCGATTTCAGATGCTGCTGCTGTTGTTGTTATATTCACTTATACACCGCTTTATCTTCTCCAATGGGATTCAAGGCCGTTTGGCATAAAAACATTAGTATATAATTTAAAATATACAAACACTAAAATAGAATTAAACACAAACAGCACTAAAAATTAACAGTTAAAATCTATTTAAAACATATTTAAAGTTAGAAACCTCTTGGAGGAAACACACCACTGGACCCATCCCAGTCTGGCTTCAGGCTTGTGTATAATATTAAACATTGTTGGTTGGAATGATTCTGGATGAAAGACAGCAGTGTTACTCTGTTGCTCTTCCTGCTGCTGCAGTGTTTTCTTTGGTACCATTGAATATGGTAACTTACTGGACCAGTTCTCCAGGACAGCAGTAGAACATTCTGTTTTATTGTGGATCCAGTTCTATCTTTGGGACCAATTTGAAAAAGTGGCATTTGGGGGCTCCCTTTCAGCTCCATTTCTATTAAACTGTGCAGTGCCACTGGGTTCCATTCCTTGCTGTCTAATATTTGTATGGAGCTGTTGAATGAAGCCATTAAGAGGTTTTGCATTGTATGCCATTGATCTTATGATGACATTCAGCTCTGCTACATCCATTGATCTAGAGTTCTGGATCAATGCCTGGATGCTGTCATGAGTTGGGGGAGGCCCAATAAACTTTCCCATTAAGATTTGGATTGGTAATTTCTGATTCTAGCAATTGAGAAAACTGCCTGCCTTAACGGGGTTGCTCTCCTTATAAAGCATTGGTTCTCAACCTATGGGTCCCCAGGTGTTTTGGCCTAAAACTCCCAGAAATTCCAGCCAGTTTACCAGCTCTTAGGATTTCTGGGAGTTGAAGGCCAAAACATCTGGGGACCCACAGGTTGAGAATTACTGTTATAAAGGAATATATGTGTAGAGTCAGAGTAGTCCAAGATCCACTTCTTTGAGTGGTTTACCAGCTATGGCTTCTCCTGGAGAAAGTTAAGCTGTAAACAGAAGCTCATGCACTGATAACTTTCTAGTTAGATGACTGCAAAGCACTCCATGTGGAGCTGCCCCTGAAGTTGATTTAGAAGCAACTGCTAATATGTACATTCCACAGCAGCTGGTTTGTCGATGGGAATATCTTATAGAAACCATATGACACTGGTTTTGAGGAATCACAACAGACTTCTTGTCTGAATTCAGAGTCCTGGTGATTATATTTAGAGCCGCAAACAGCTTAGGACACTGGCACCTGTTCCCATATATTCATGACTGATGTTTGCTGGAGCGACACTTCTCTATCTTCCACGAATGGGAGAACTACTAGGTGCTTCACAATCTTCTCTCATTCTTTTATGTGGGAAGATGGGATAAAGGCTGAAGAAATGCCATGCATTTGGTTCAGTATGCTTAAAGGAATGTACTACAGAATCAAAAGTTATATGAATACTGTAAATGGAATCAAGCATACTTCATAAAAGGATCTTAGTTTTGTTTTTGCTGTGCAAATACGAGCATATTGGAAGCAATTTTGGTCTCAGTAGTTATTTCAGACAACTAGTATGTGTCTGGCTGGAAGAAGTCGCAAGGCAGAACTATCCAGACAGCAATAATAACATCTATTCCATGTGCAATTATCTTTATGCTCCATGTTTAATGCAAGCACTCATTACTTCTAAAAACATTTGCAATTATTTTTTCTTTGTCCTCACAGCTTGCAACAGTGCAGCCTGGAATGAAGTTCCATATGTACACGAAAGAGGAACTTGAAGATGTCATCAAAGATATTTGATGAGGGAGAGAACCTCTCCGACTGCCTCATTCCCTGATCACAGCAAACTGAATTTTCAGTTTCTTTCCAGTGCCCGTAACTTTATTTCAGCAGCACGTATGCCTGCTCTTAAACAAAGGCTCAAAGATTTTTTTACAGTTTCTGTACATAAAAAGATCTTCAATAAGATGAAGCTAGAATAAATCATTTTGTTACTCTTATGTTATTACTTTTACAATAAAGGTCTGGGGTGGGGGAAATTGTTAAAATTTGTGCTGAGCACCCACAGTAGAAATTGTCCTCTTTTTAAAAACTGTTTTCAAGAGACCAAAAAAATAAAAATAATAAGAAGACTGCTGTGCAGTCACTCCCCATTCACCACTATTTTCCCCTTTCCCCACCTTGGTACCTGATGCACAGTACCGCTTCAAAGTGATCTTGCTAGTGGCTCCAATTAGCTATTCCTTCATTTGGTTTTTAAAAACGAGGTAGTTTCCCCCCCCCCCCCCCCAAAGTAGTGTTCACTGTTGCTGGGAAGGAAAATATAAAATCTGAGATCTTTAAAGCACTGAATTGATTATACACTACACCAGTGTATCAAAGTGACTTTTGAGAAACAGTTTAGTATCCCTGGCCCACCTTTTCACACTGAAAGTTTGCACAAAAAATCAGTTGCAGCACAGTTAAACCTTTGAAACGACCAGTGTTCAAAGACCACAGTTAAAATTACTGTATTGTTTCTTCCCTTAAGTAACTTAATTGCTGGTGTCTAATATCTTTCTCATCTTACATTACTACTGTGCTGCACTTTCTTCCTTTTCTGGCCAACATAGTTAGTAATTGAACTCCCAGCTATGTTGTGGCCTTGAAAGCTACTTCTGGAGCTCCTGTTTCTAGCCTTCTGGTGATACAGCTCCCTCATCTGGAAAACAGAATCTCAACAAGGCAAGACATTGCAACTAGAGAATTGCTTTAAATATGCAACTTGCTAACATGTAAAAAAAGAACCATACTTTTATAGGTAGAAAAATATTGTGCATTTCAAACTCATTACATATTTTCACTTGTGTATTCCTGTGGCAAAGTATATGCCTTTGTAATACATAGAAACTGAGGTCCTACTCAAATCATCCAGCTGATTTCATGCGCCTCCTTAAAGTTTAAAGTTTGCCAGTCATCTGCTCTGTATTTCCCTTCTTTGATATTATGGCCAAACATCACATTACAGTTTTTATTAGCTTTACTTTCATTTTGGGACACAAGGCAAGCCAATGATGTTGTGTCATATCCCGTTTCATTCATATCAGTAACCTTTAACGATATAGCTTGAGGTCAGATGTTTGTAATAAAAGGGATAAAAGTCTATACCAGTTTCTCAAACATGTAAGTAAACAATTTCATTTATTCCGAAACAATCAATGAATGAACCCAGACAAATGCAGGATTCTTCCTTTTGTTGAAAAATTGGTGATGGGAAATCATATATAATGTACTTGTTGAAGAAAGTAATGAATTGTCTGCCTCATCCGAATGGTAGGCAGACATCTTTAATGCTACAAAAATGTTCTCAATAATGTTCTGTTATCAGGTATAAAAGACATATATGGGGGTATTGTAAAGGTTAAGGGGTGTGTGTCCATTGGCTGTGTTTTCACTAAGCAAATGTTATTGGGTGTAATGAGCAATAAGCAGAAAAACGTCCCATGTTGGGCTAGGTACCACCTAACGCATAACAATGAGCTTGTCCATTAGTGCCTTCTATTACCTGTAAGAATGGATCCACTGCAATTTAAGTTTGCATTAAATGTATAGTGTTCCTTTGAAACAAAAGCTCAGGGGAAGTAAATTGTAAAGCAAATGTGATCCTAGATTAAGCTGGTGTAATGCATTCTTCAGTGAGAATAGAGGTGTTTTAAATCTATAGGAAATGATATGAAGAGTTCTTTGAAAGCATAGAATGGTTTTTATTTCATCTAGACTTTGTTTAGTTTGTACAAAAAAAGGATCTCTAACATGTAAGACAAAGGCTTTTTATGTTCTCTTTTAAATACAGTTGGTAGTACCAGCTACCATGTGAGCAAACTAAAAAAACAAGACTTTGTTCCATTCTTATTTGAGCAGTAAAAGCAAGTCCTTCTTGACTGCTAAAAACCAGCCAATTCCAAATGTTAAAAGCTGTATGTATTCATGTTGGTCTTTGAGTTATTAGAAAATTATACAAATCTTATCACATCTGTCATAGCATCAGAAAAAGTATATCTGTGTATCCCGCTGTTCAAATCCAAACACTTTAAATAGCTAAAAAATAACTGTAGGGAAGATCTCTGATGGGTTCCTGCTTGTTTTCAAAACTCACAAATACATTATATTGTGCATCTTTTATTTTGAGGAAATGACATATGTCTACAACAAGACATCATGAGGTCTTCCACATAGTGTACTGTAACTCATTCCACACAATTGGCTGTGATGGCTGGAATGACAGGAATTGCAGTCCTAACAACCTCTGGAGTGTTGTATGATGCTCATCCTCCATAAGATAGTACATATTTTTCTTTGGTACTGATTTTTCTGAATCAGTTATAGCAGTGGTTCCCAACCTTTTTTTGACCAGGGACCACACTCCAACATTAGTGCCAAAAGGGTTATGAAACAGGTTTTGGTCAACTTTAGATTTCGTTTGGGGGGCTGGTTCAGAAAATTGTTTTGGATAAACCACATCAGCTCCAGTTTCCATGGTCAGCGACAGGGAAGGAGTGGCAGGCGGAGCAAGAAGAGCGGGAGACAAATAAATAATGAGGAAGGAGGCTCACGGATCAGGTTTTTGTCCTCGTGGCCCATTGGTGGTCTGCCACCCACACCTTAAGAACCACTGAGTTATAGGGTACATATTCCTGTTACTGAATTAGACATGAACTGGTTCAGCATGCTATTGTTTGCCTTCAAGTCATTTCTGAGTCATGGTGACCCTAAGGCTAACCTATCACAGGGGTTTTGTGGCAGAAAATATTCAGAGCTTTTCCCTTGCCTTTTGAGGCTGGGGAGTATGACCTGTCAACATCACCCAGTGAATTTCTATGGCAGATCAAATATTTGAACCCTGTTTCCCATTGTCCTAATCCAATACTCAGTCAACGATACCACTCTGGCTCTTAGTATGTGTTGTAATACAAACAGGCCACAAACTTCCTTGAGGGTTTTCTGTATCTAATCCCAAAAATGTGCAAAGCCAAAACAATTTATAATTCAAGGATTGTTTTTGGTTTCTCCCTACCCTAGAAAATTATTGTGAAATCACAAAGTTAAACTTTTAAATGAAGTTTGCAACTCCATGCTTCAACAATGCAGGCAGAGACAATTTGAACTCTACATAAAATAATAATTTAAGATGGGTTATGTAATCCTGGTTAAATCTTTATAACATTTATTCTTCAATATAAGTGTATTTACTTAGCCTTCATATAATCCTTATTGCTACAATTAGTTGTTAAAGGGTGTATACATTTTTGGAACACCCTGTATATATATAGTGGTCATAGCTGATGTTATGTAAACATCTCAGGGGAAAAATGTATACCAAATCGGATATGTATTAATGTTTTATTTTCTTATTTGTTCTAGTAAGAGCTGTCCCACCCTGTATTTATTGGCAATAACCACTAGGGAATGGTGGTTGTCATTTCAACCTTGCCAGCTGCTGTTTCCTAATGGAGATTTAAATACAGTTGGTCTGTTGATAATTGTTATGTGGATAACCTGCACAAAATAATTACAAGTTCAAATTATGTTTTAAGATTAATGTCAGGATTTTGCATTAGCTGCAGCTAGAAACCAGCAAATTTCTTGAATATCCTGAATAACCCACAAAGTTTCAAAATGGTGGTATTTTGAAAAATAGTAACTTCCTAAAAGCTGGCTCTTTGGAAGGATGTTATTATTCCAGAGTAATCTTAGCCAGCCTTTTTGTTTTAATCACATAATTATAGACTTTATAAATATAAAAGCTAGGAAACTGGTAATCAAAGTGGTGATCTTGCTTAGTTGCCTGTTGGTTTCCCCAGCCAACTTAAACACTTGGTCCTGATAAAGATTACGCTCAGTGGCCCACAGGATTTTTATTGCTTATGGGGCAATTTCCCAGAGATCAAGCTGTTCCTCAGCTAATTTCGGAAGGAGTCGTGTTGTCCCTTCTAGAATATTTGCAAAGATTGCCAGAGATTATGGCAAGTTGTTTTCTTTCTTTTGGGAAGCTTGTTTCAGTTTATTTTGGTAATACTGTTTTCAGGAACAATTTAGAATTCTTTTTTCAAAAACAACAAACTTTTCTTCTATTAAAAATATTTTATCTATATCCTACTTTGTCAAGCTAGAAGATTATCTAATATGGTTAAAATAAATCGAGGGATATAGTACTATAATAGTGGGGCTACTTCTGTCTCTTTAACAGGACTTTGGTTTGGGATTATATTAATTTGGTAATAGAAGTCTAATTCAACAAAAAGAAGCTTCCGGTGGCACAGTGGGTTAAACCCTTGTGCCAGCAGGACTGAAAACCGACAGGTCGGAGGTTCGAATCTGGGGACAGCACGGATGAGCTCCCTCTGTCGGCTCCAGCTCTCCATGTGGGGACATGAGAGAAGCCTCCTACAAGGATAGTAAAACATCAAAATATCCAAGCGTTACCTGGGCAACGTCCTTGCAGGCGGCCAATTCTCTCACACCAGAAGTGACTTGCAGTTTCTCAAGTCGCTCCTGACACAGAAAAAAAAATTCAACAAAATAGCAGGGTCCCAGGTTGAGGAAGCTTTCAGCAGTTTCTTAGGCTATTTTCTAATAATGATCTATCTTCAGTAGATAATTTTTGTCAATGTCACTGCAGTGTATATACATTATTTCACCATCTAATTTGTGTTGCATGCCATTATGTTTCCTTTTCCCCATCCCCAACAGTTTCATGTTGCAACCTTTTGGTTCAGTTTCCTGTTTGAACTTCAGTGCTTCCATTAGTATTGCACCTAACATTGAGACACCCATAAAACCACTGCCAGTTTACTCAACTGGTTGCATTGCCTGTAGATTTCCATTTGTGTGCATTCTTTATTTTTTTTTTAAGTAGCCAGTTCAAATTGTTCAGTTCTTGGCCTTTTTAATTTTCCACCATCCAAGCCAAAACCCCTTCCACAATGGTATAAATATGTATGTATGTATGTATGTATGTATGTATGTATGTATATATATATATGTATATGTATATAGGGGCTTCCTTTCCTCTTTCTGACAGATGGCAATATTCCAACATGGCAGCATGCCCTTATTTGTAAAACAAAAACCCTTTTTACTATTCATGGAATAGATGAGGATCAAACTGGACATGTTCTTCAATAGGATTGATTATTGACTGTCTGCTATTTTATTTGTAAAAATTAAGGTGCAGGGCTGAACTAGTGGTTGGCTCAAGAAAAATATTTCCTACAATCCTGAATAAAGATAAGTTACCTAAGTAATATATCAGAGAGACTGTGTTATACACACTGGAATTTGGATTGATACAGGTTGAGATCCTTGCACAACCATGAAATTTCCTGAGGGTGCATCTATATTAAACAATTAATGCAATTTGACATTATTTTGACTGTTGTGGCACAATACTATGGAATCCTGGGATTTGTTGTTTGGTGAGGCATTGGCACTCTTGGATAGAGTAGGTTAAAGACCTTGTAAGCTACAGCTCCCGATGATTCAATAAAATTATCCCGCTTTGCTGTCTTATAGGAGACTCAGAGCAGCCATGGAAGTTAAATGTGGGGTTAAACTGCATTAATTCTACAAGACAGGTGCACTGAGTCAGCCAGGCGCCCATACATTCCAACTTACCTTGCAGATTGGGATGGTGAAGTGGAAAGAGAGCCAAGCACCTTCACAATTTTGGAGGAAATGTGGCAGAAAATGACCATTTGATTTATCACAGTTGTGCTGAGACCCTGTTTAATAAAATCAGTTGTGCAGTTGAGGGAACAATTGTTAACCTTGTGAAACTCTTAAGGTGCCCCTACAGCAAGCTGATTCAACTGAAGAGAAAGGTTCAGAGATTTGACTGATGGCCTTGCTATGTATCAATTCTTCTCAAAATCATTTTTCCTTTGCCAGTGTATATTGACAAGTCTAACAAATTCGTAATACAAGTTGAGTATTCCTTGTCTGAAACTGCAAAATGCGCCCAAACATAAAATAGTCTACAAGGATGGCTGAGAGAGTGATGGTTCAATGTACACAATTTTTTTTCCATGCACAAAATAATACTGTATAAAACAATCATCAAGCTATGTGTACATTTTTCTTTTGTGTCAGGAGCGACTTGAAAACCTGCAAGTTGCTTCTGGTGTGAGAGAATTGGCTGTCTGCAAGGACGTTGGCCCAGGTGACACCCAAATGTTTTTACCATCCTGTGGGAGGCTTCTGTCATGTCCCCGCATGAGAAGTTGGAGCTGACAGACAGGAGCTCATCCTCTTCCCTGGATTCAAACCGTCGATCTTTCAGTCAACAGTCCTGCCTGCACATGGGTTTAACCCATTGTGCCACCAGGGGCTCCGTATGTGTACATGAAGCACACAAATAATACAATCATCTGGCTATGTGTATGCCAAACACATGAATTATGTGTCTAGACTTTAATCCCATCTTCAGAGGTGCATCTACACTGCAGAATTAATGCAGTTTGACACCACTTCAACTACTATGGCTTAATGCTATGGCAGACATGGTTCAAGACCTTGTAAAAGTATAACCCCTAAGAGTCCATCTCATTGAGACATGGCAGTTAAGGTGATGTCAAACTGCATTAGATGTACAGTGTAGGTGCACCTATAGCCTCTGGCCACATGACCTTGGAGGTGTCTAGGGATAACACCGGCTCTTCGGCTTAGAAATGGAGATGAGCACCCCCCCCCCCCGAGTCGGACACGACTAGACTTAATGTCAGGGGAAACCTTTCCCTAAGAGTCTATCTCATTGAGCCATGGCAGTTAAGGTGATGTCAAACTGCATTAGATGTACCTTTAGCCTCTGGCCACATGACCTTGGAGGTGTCTAGGGACAACACCGGCTCTTCGGCTTAGAAATGGAGATGAGCCCCCCCCAAGTCGGACAAGACTAAACTTAATGTCAGGGGAAACCCTTCCCTTTCCCTAAGAATCCATCTCATTGAGCCATGGCAGTTAAGGTGATGTCAAACTGCATTAGATGTGCAATGTAGGTTCTCCTATAGCCTCCGGTGGACTTCGTGTCCTTGCACTGCAGCCAATCAGGGCACGGCCTCGAGGATGTTTTAGGATTACTCCGAGGATCAGCAAAGGGACAACGCTGGTAGGCAATTAGCCAATGGGCAAGGTGCTCTTCAAAGTGGGGTGATGCTGCCCAGCTAGAGAATCTGACGGGGGGAGGCTCTTGCCGCGGCGAGCCAATCAACGACTGCAGTGCGGAGACGGACAAGGCGCTAACCCAATGAGAAAAAAGAAGCCGGGAGCGTTGGACGAATGGGGGAGAAGCTACCAAGAGAGGCAGGTTGTTGATCGAAGGTGGGTGAGATTGGCGTTTCCGGCAGCCAGTGACGTTGACATACCTGGTCGGCTTGGGCCAATGAGGGCGCGGGTGGGCGGGACGGGCCCGCCCCTGAAGCTTGAGGAGAGAGTTTCCTAGCGATTGTTGTTGTGAGCGGCGGCGGCGGAGATGGAGCGGGCGAGTTTGGCGCGGGTCGGGGTCTTGCTGCTGCTCTTGGCGGGGGCGCCGGCGCTGCTTGGCGGACGGGAGCTCCAGTTCGGGGCGGGGAGGCTGCGGGCCCGGCGGGGGGCCCAGGAGGGCCGGCCTGAGGCGGAATGCGGCCCGCGGGACGGAGGCTTCTCCTTGGAGGCGCTGAGCAACAACACCCACAAGGTGAGCGGGAGGCAAGGGTGGGGGAGACGGGCCTGAAGAGAATGAGACTTCGGTGCCCTCCTTTCTGTGGTGTCCTTCAAAGGAGCGTCTGCACTCAAGAATTAACGCGGTTCGACACCGCTGCAGCTGCTCTGCCTCAAGGCTATGAAATCTAAGGAATTACCATTCACAGGGTCTTGGGTCTTCTCTGCCAGAGAGGCCACAAACCACAAATCCCAGGGTTTGCTTGGATACCGCTTTAAATGCCATGGCTCAAAGAAATTGTAGTTTCACAAGGTCTTGAGCTTCCTTCGCGGTCTCTATATTTATTTATTTATTTACGACACCCCAAAGGAGACTCAGAGCGGCTTACAAGTTATATGTAAATACAACATATTATATTATTAGCATGACACTATATTAGAAACATGCACTCCCATATTGTACTGTAATTATTATTAGTAATCTGACATGTAATATGAAATCTATAATTATTATATTGTATTATTATTAGTATTATATTGTATTACATTATAATATTATCAACTATATTATAATATACTAGCCGTCCCATGCCATGCGTTGCTGTGGCCCAGTCTGGTGATCTGGAAAATAAAGTAATGGTTTCTAATATATATAATGTCTTTATGCTTGAGGGTAAACAGTATTCCTTGTTGTTTCTTTGTCATTGTTGATGTGGAGATTGTCTGCTTTGCCTACTCTGGAACATGCGGCATATAATTGTCCTTCTTTAGGGGTCCCTTTCAAATCTATGATGCTATATCTGTGTGTGTGTGAATCATATCAATATCTATATCTATATCTATGGCTGGATGGCTCTTTGTCAGGAGGACTTTGATTATATTTTCTTGCCCTCATGAAGGGAGTTGGATTGGATGGCCTTAAGTATTTTCTCTTGGTCATGGGGTTCTGTGTGGGAAGTTTGCCCCGATTCTGTCGTTCGTGGGGTTCAGAATGCTCTGATTGTAGGTGAACTGTGAATCCCAGTGACTACAACTCCCAAATGTCAAGGTCTACTTCCCCCAAACTCCACCTGTGTGCATATTTGGGCGTATTGAGTGCTCATGCCAAGTTTGGTCCAGATCCATCATTGTTTGAGTTCACAGTGCTCTCTGGATGTAGGTGAACTACAACTCCCAAACTCAAGGTCAATGCCCACCAAACCCTTCTAGTGTTGTCTGTTGGCCATGGGAGTTCTGGTGCCAAGTTTGGTTCAATTCCCTCGTTGATGGAGTTCAGAATGCTCTTTGATTGTAGGTGAACTATAAATCCCAGCAACTACAACTCCCAAATGACAAATTCATACTTTTTGAGTGATGGCCATTTCTTGTGTTGTGAGATGTTTTGTTACCAAATTTGGTGTGATTTCGTCCATTGGTTCTTTTGTTTTTAAGGAACTCATTATGCACAGAGCATTTTTTATATATAGATTATTATATTATTATATTGTATTACATTATAATATTATTGTATATAAATATATATGAACTATACATCCTAGGATTGAGTTGTATCAGTTCAATGTGGTGACAAACTGCATTAATTCAACAGTGTAGATCAGTTATAGGCAAACTTGGGCCCTCTGGGTGTTTTGGACTTCAACTCCCATCATTCCTAACAACCTCAGGTCCCTTCCTTAAGCGGCTGAGGGGGAAAAGGAACAGGCCTGAGGTTATTAGGAATTATGGGAGTTGAAGTCCAAAACACCCAGAAGGCCCAAGTTTGCCCATACCTGATATAGATGCACATTCAATTCAGCTTGAGAGTGACAAGGAAGATGCTGTCTCTGAGCATGTGCAGAATGCCTCTTAATAATCTCTCTGTCACTTCAAGTATGGCATAGGAGTTTCAGCAATCGTCTATGGGTGCACCTGCAGTGTTGAATGGATACAATCTGAAACCATTTCAACTGACATGGCTCAGTGCTATCAAATGATGGGAGTTGTAGTTTTACGACAGCTTGAGTCTTCACTGGCAAAAAGGGTTGATGTCTCACCAAAGTACAAACTCCCACAATTCCACGGCAGTTTAAGTGGCTTCAAGCTGTATTGAGCCATGGCATTAAAATCGGTTTTTAGTAGTGTTAAACCGCATTAATTAGACAGTGTGGATACACCCTACAATTCTAGAGATCTGGATTAGAATCCCCACTTGTTCATGGGAATCTTCTGGGGTGATTCTGGGTAAATCATCCACTCTCAGTCCCAGAAGCTTCCTTAAGGAACACAAAATACAACAAAAGATACACATTAGACATTCGGTAGGAGCTCCCTGTGGTGCAATGGGTTAAACCCTTGTGCTGGCAGAACTGCCGATTGACAGGTCTGCGGTTCGAATCCAAGGAGCGAGGTGAGCTCCCATTTGTCAGCTCCAGCTTCTCATGGGCGACATGAGAGAAGGCTCCCACAGGATGGTAGAACATCCAGGCACAATGGGTTAAACCCTTGTGCCGGCAGGACTGCTGACCGAAAGGTCTGCAGTTCGAATCCGGGGAGCAGGGTGAGCTACCGTCTGTCAGCTCCTGCTTCTCATGTGGGGACATGAGAGAAGCCTCCCACAGGATGGTAAAACATCCGAGCATCCCCTGGGCAATGTCCTTGCAGGTGGCCAATTCTCTCACGCCATAAGAAACTTGCAGTTTCTCAAGTTGCTCCTGACACAAAAAAAGAAGATATTCAGTGCCTATTCCTCTTGAATCAGCTGACAGGTTTCCTAGGCCAGGTGACTTGCATTGCTCAGAAAAGGTTTGAACCCAAGTGGCGCTCACTGCAAGAATTAAACATTGGTAATATGCGACACAAATAAGCATGTACGCTTTTGAGTGGACAGCCTGACGTACTTGTGAGGAAAGAATGGGGAAGAGCCACACCTTCAGAGCCAGGGAATATAATGACTTTGGAGCTAAGTCAAGACAGACTGACACCCTTTGGCACTTGAGTGCTATTCTTCCTAGGAAGCCAACAGGAATGTGCATTTAAATTGAGGGAATGGCAGAGTTCTCCAACCTAGTTAGCTTTTCAGCCATAGGGTGCACCAACACTGTACAAGTAATGCAGATTGACACCACCTTAACTGAGGAGCCCCCGGTGGTGCAGTGGGTTAAACCCCTGTGCCGGCAGGACTGAAGACCGACAGGTCGCAGGTTTGAATCCGGGGAGAGGCGGATGAGCTCCCTCTATCAGCTCCAGCTCCTCATGCGGGGACATGAGAGAAGCCTCCCACAAGGATGATAAAGACATCAAATCATCCAGGTGTCCCCTGGGCAACGTCCTTGCAGACGGCCAATTCTCTCACACCAGAAGCGACTTGCTCCTGACACGACAAAATACAAACAAACAAACAAACAAAAACACCTTAACTGCCATGACTCAGTATTATGGAATCCTAGGAGCTCTAGTTTTACAATGTCTTCGTCTTTGTCTGCCAAAAAAACTCACCTAACAACTCCCAGGATTCCATAACATTGAACCAAGGCAGTTAAAGTGATGTGAAATTGTATTGCTTCTGCAGTGTATATGCACCCTCAGAGCTGGTTAGAAGCATTTAAAAATGCAAAAGATCTCAGTGTGTGACATCTAGTTCACCCTGAAAAGATTTTCTTTATCCATTCTGAGGATTACTGGCACTTAGAGGGATATGAACTGGTTTTGAGCTTACCACTGTCTTCATTAGCCTGTGTTTTGTGTTAAAAGCTGATGGGCACTATTGGCTTTCATGTGAATGGCTTATCCTAAAGTAGCGAGACTCTGGAATTCGTTGGATGTGACTGGCAAGTGAGGAAGCCAGCTGCTACAGGATAGGTGTGCACAAATCTAAAATTTGGTTGCTCAGGTTACCTAGCTTTTCTGAGTGTTCAACTCCCATTGTGTTTTACAGCCAGTGTTTGTTGGACATGTTGGCAAAACATGTCTTGTCCAGTGAGCATGGATTGTGAAGGCCATTCTATAGGAAATACCTTCAGACTAGTTTCGCTTGATTGTCAGCATTTAGTGACAAGGCAGGGGAGTTCACCTGAATCCACCCAGCATGCAAGTGATCTACAATTTTAGAGTGCTATATTTCTATAGAGCTGCTGAAAATTGATTTAGGGATGGCATAATAAACACTTTTGAATTGCAAGTGGTGTTCATAATGTTGCTTCCTGAATGTTGCTGTTCTTGTTGTGTGCTTCCAGGTTATTTGGCGACCTTGAGGCTGAGAGTGTGTGACATGCTCAGGGTCAGCCAGTGGGTTCCCATGACTGAGTGGGGATTGAAACCCTGGTCCCCAGTGTCTTAAAGTGCATTTACCCTGTAGAATTAATGTAGTTTGACACACTGTTTAATTGCCATGGCTCAATGCTGTAGGACCCTGAGGTTTGTAGTTTGATGTGTTCTAGGAGAGAGAAGGCTAAAGATCTTGTAAAACTACAAGTCCCATGATGCCATAACATTGAGCCCTGGCAGTTAAAGTGATGCCTAAACTGCATCAATGCTGCAGTGTAGATACATCTTCTGTCCAATGGCCAAACCACTACACCACACATAAATTCAATTAATACAATTAATAGTAATTAGCTGTGGCAGATTAAGTCAATAGTTCCCACCCTTTGGCTGTCCAAACTTCATCTCCCAGAACTCCCAACTGTTGGCCCAAGCTCACTGGGATATCTGGGAGTTGAAGTCGAGAACATCTGGACAACCAAAGTTTGTGAACCACTGCTCTAAGCAGAACGTTGGTGTCATAAATAGATTTCACTGTTCTCCTAATTAACAAGGAGCAGAACCACAGAGACTGTTAATCTCCTACTTACATATCAAACTGCTATTGTCAGAAATTGCCTGAAATTGATAGTAAAACATGCCCTTTTACTATCAATCCTTCATGTGGAGAGCATTGCCCCTACTAACACTATGACTTGCCAACCAGCCTTGTCAGGTGGAAACCAACCCTTGGCTGGATGGCTTCAGTTATTGTTGAGTCAAATGCATTTCCTCATTCTTCTTAGCTATCATCGCCTG